ACAGTCATGTGGATGACAGTAGACTTGTACCAGGGCTGGGGTGGGATCTCCCGGGCGATATTCTTGGTGCGACAAGGTGCATCAAAGGGACTAGCGTTGTTCTTCCCGAAGATGCCTCCAATGACAGTGAGAGGAAAGCCTACCAGCAGCCAGACCGTCAGGAGCAGCAGGATGGTGGTGGCTGGCAGAGCCTGTGTTGAACCGTTGGCCCAGTGCACTGAGTTCACCACACTCCATGTCAGGAAGAAGGGTACTGCAGGAGGGAGGGTCAGCAGTAGGAGCAACATCCCCGTGACACCCCACTCTGACTGGACCTAAGGGGAAAGGCGGGAAGTAGCCTGCCACTTACAGGGACCAACTATGCTCCCAGGTGTCCAGAGTTGACCAAATTCACCTTGACCTTTTTATAGCTTATTGTTCTCTGTTCTTTATTTTTTTGAACACCTTCTTCCCCGCACCCAATGCCGTCAAGAATCAAGACAGTTGCTTCATCGTGGCCCGAGAGTGATGAAAATCTACCTGCCTACAGGAACCTGTCTTGCCATGGCCTTGATAATTCCTAGCATGAAACAGTCATTTGAGTTAAGGATCTGTTCTCTGAAAGCCATGCTTCAAATATAAATGTAGTGGGGTATAAATCAAATACACCACACTGGAAATAACAAGGTTCAGAATGTAGACTGCTACTGTCTTTGAAAATGCAATCGGAGCAGGGCAGCGGTGGCACATGCCTTTAATCCCAGCACTCCAAAGGCAGAGGTCAGCCTGGTCTACAAAGTGAGTTCCAGGACAGTCAGGGCCATTACACTGAGAAACCCCATCTCGATGGGGGTGGGGGAGGGGGAGGCAATCTGGTTTGAAGGCTAGAATGAACCTACCTCCAAAATAAAAAGAATATCAAAAAATAAATTCAAGGATGCTCTTTAAGGGGGTTGAGGAAATGGTTCAGTCGGTAAAGCTCTTTCCCCAAAAGCATGAGGACTCAAATTGGATCCCCAGCATCCACATTTAAAACAAACAACAAAAACAAGTCAGATGTGGCTAGAGCTCATGATCCCAGTCAAGGAAGGCAAAACAGGAGGATCCCTAGGACTCCACGGCCTTTCTACTCTAGCTGATTCAGTGAGCTCCAGCTTTAGTGACAGACCCTGGCTCAAAAACCAAGGTGAGCTCCTGAGGCAGACACCTGACATTGACCGCTGCCTTCCCCATGCGCACAGTTCACAGCACCCACACAAGTGTGCACACACCACATTCTTTAAGCACGGCGTCTGCAGAACGGAAGGCTTAGTTGGAGAAGTGCTTTGCATGAAGGCCGAGGTTCAATCCCCAGGTCCCACATGGAAAAAGCTAGGCATAGTGGTCATGCTGGTTTTTGTTTTGTGTTATGTTGTTGTTGTTTTAGATAGAGTCTATTCAGTCCTGACTGTTCTGGAACTCATTTTGTAGACCAGGCTGGCCTTGAACTCACAGAGATCCGCCTGCCTCTGCCTCCTGAGTGCTGGGATTAAAGGCGCGTGCCACCACCACCCGGCAAGAGATAGATTATTTTTGACGGATTTTTCTTATGAAACACCCACCCGGTGCAGGGACTGGAGAGAAGGCTCGGTGGTTAATAGCACTTGCTGTTCTTACAGAGGACTTGGGTTCGGTTCCCAGCACCCACACAGTAGCTCACAACCATCTGCAACTCCAGTTCCAAGGGGTCAGGTATCTTCTTATGGCCTCCATAGGCACCGTGTGCATGTGCTGTACATGCATACATGCAGGCAAAACATACACATAAACATAAATATTTTTAAAAATCCTCCCTCTATTCCCCGCATTGTGACTCTATCCCAGGACCCATGATGTGCTCTTAGTCCCTAAATCTAGGCAGACCCACCACAAAAGGGGACGTTCTCACCAGAGAAGAGACTGGTGGTGAGAATGATGTTCCACACCCAACGCTCGCCTCCAATCTGCCGGTAGAAGTGGCTGGACACATAGCCAGAGATGCAGCAGGTCAGAGCATACAACAAGATGGCTGCCGAGTTAATGGCTCCATGACGGTGCACATTGAACATGCCCAGCAGCGCCATGACAATAATGCCTACAGGGTAGTAGTGGAAAGCTCGTTAGATCTCACCCACACCTCTTCTCAGCGTCAGAGAAATCATCCCCCTTAACCCAGATCAAGGGTCTCATGAGATAACATTTCCCTGGTTCTATGGTCAGGAGAACCCACACACAACCTCACTAGAGCTTACGTTTTTCTCTCACCTTGCATAGAAGAGGAGGTCCACTGAACCTTTATAATAACCTATCTACTACCCTCTGAGAGCAATTCATATCACCTCACCAGTGCCAAGGGCCAGGAACTGGGCGCCCACACCAAGCACAGCACAGAGCAGACCACGGTATGGAGGGAAGCGGAAGACGTCTGTATGGATAATCTTCCAGCCGTTGTCACCCTGGTCAAAGTCATCGCTAGGGCCTCCAGAGCTGGTCTCTTCATCTAGGTTGTACCGAGCCAGGTCATTTCGAAGCACACGCATGAGAATAACAGCCACAAAACCCACCAGTAAAAACACAAGCACCATGGAGTTGATGATGGACAGCCAGTGGATTTCCAGGGTTCGAGGAAAGAAGCCACCGTCATCACCACGGCGCCTGTCACTCCGACGCTCCACTGAAGTCTCAGACCAGCGCACACTGTAAGTGTGAGTAAGGCCTAGGAATTCATCGGCTCGTAACCCATCCAAGCTGTGGGGCTTGACATCCCGAACTGAAACATTGGCAAATATAATTCGATCTCCGTGGAATTCTAGGTGGAAGTCCAAATGTGTCCAGAGTCCTATCTTGTGGCTATGTGGCAGGAAGCCACTCTCTTCCATGTAGCCCACAAAACCACGGATTGGCAAGTCATCTACCACAAATTCAAAGTAATACAATTCCTCAATAGCCTGGCGCAGCTGCTCCACCTACAGAGAATAAGCCAGGGGTCAGTACACAAAGCCTCTCAGAGTTAACTCGGTGTTTCTCAAACTTGGCAGTACTCATATTTTGGGCTGGATGATTCTGTGTTGTAGGGAGATGCTGATCTGTGCATTGCAGAATTCAGCATCCTCGATCGCTACTCACTACACACCATTTTTGATTGTGACAATCAAAAATGTCTCCAAAGCTAGCCATTACATAGAATATCCTTGTTATCCCAGCACTTATAAGGTTCATCTTGGGTTTGAGGCCAGCCTGGGCTACATAGTGAGGTCTTATTTCAACAAACAAAACCAAAACAAAAGAACAAAAGCCCCAAATCAAACAAACAAAATGTCTCTAAGCATTGCCAAAGTCCCTAAGGGAACAAAACTGACTCCCATTGAGACTCATTGATTGATTCTGGTATACTGGTCCCCAAAAAGAGCAAGTATGACTTTGATGGGATAAAGTCCCAGAAAAATAAGTGGGGCAAAGTGTAAAGAAAGACTGGAATCAATTAAGAAGTGCCAGAACTTGCAAAAGAAAAAACGTTAATAGGGAAAGTTAGAAAGTAAAGGAGCTGAGAAAGAGCTAAGGTATGTATGAAAGGAAAGAGAATTACACAGGAGTCTTAAGTAGGACCTGTTACTGACAGAGAAGTTTGGAGTGAGGAGCCCTGGACTCTAATATCAGTTCTGCATCTCAGTATCCATGTAATCTTGAAAAGTCCGTTCTGAACATCTAAGCACCGGGTTGTGGTTAGAGTCCAAACAGATAGTTTCCATAAAGGTACCATAAATGCAAGGCACTGCTAGTCTCTGGCAAGGAGCGGGGTGGGGGCCTAAGTGATTACTAATGTGGAGAGCTGACCTGTGCAGAACTGAGCTGCATGTGACACAGAATTCTCTTCTCCGCATTCTCCCGAAAGCGGATCTCGTACAAAGATTCGGCCATTCGGTCCCCATCCAGTACTTCACCCAAACTAAGACTTTTGTGGCGGATCTTCTCAGGACAGCAGACTGGAAGCTGATAGTAGTGGTAAGTTTCCTGGGGGTTGTGGTAGGGTCCCACTTTGTTGACATATAGAATGACAGGGTCGCCGGGCTTGTAGTGTGTCACACCTTCCACCCCTGGCCCATGGCCTGTGCCCAGCAACAGTATCAGGACTGGCAAACACTGGCAGCTCCAACTTCGAGGGTGCCCTAGGACTGTCATCTTTAAGGCAGCAGGACCTGTTGGGGGAATCCCGTGGTTACAGAAACTAGGTGTCAAATCGTGACGCCCCGGGTCTGGTCTCTCAAGCGCCCATTGGCTCCACCTCCTCCCATTGGCCTCCCGATCCCCGCACCACCAGACTTCTGTCCCAAAGACGGGGCGCGCTCGCTCGATAGTCCTCCCAACCTGGGGTTCACGCCTCTCGCAGGCCTCCCCCACCCGGGACCTCTGCTGCGCGAGCCAACCCGTTTCTATGGCAACGCCCGGCGGGCTCGCTGCTCCCGCCGAGGCACCCGCCGCAGCTTCGGGACCCTCACTGCAAGGGACCGGCTGGCCAAAGAGGCGCCAGCGGCCTCGCAGGCCCCCGTAGCTGCCCTTGGGCTTCAGCCCGGGTTCCCAGAGAGCGGCGCCGGAGCGGTAGGCTTGGCGAGGACCTGACGGCGGACCTCCTCGGGGTTGTCCGCCTCGGCGCCTGATCGCCGCGGCTGCGGCCACGCCGCCGCCGCCCGCTCTCGGCTCGCTCGGAGGCTCCCCAGACAGCTCCGGCTCGCCAGCGGTCGGGCCCCCGCTAGCGACACCGCGAGGCTCCGTCGCCGAGCCCGCGGGCGATGCAAGTGTTCTTCCCGGCGAGCAGCACCGCAGCCCGGACACGTCAGTCTTACCACTTCCGCCTTCGCCGGCGGGAACCTCAGCTCCGGGAAGGCTCCGCTCCGGAGAACTCAGTGCTGCCCGTGCGCCGGCTGCGGGCGGCTTCCCGCGCAGGCTTGCGCGGCCCCGGGCTGCCCGGAAAGAGACGGCCGGGGAGTGGGAGCGCGGGCGGGCGGGCGGGCGGGCGGCCGAAGGCGGGACCGGCCCCCGGCTGCTGAGGCTGGTCCTGATGCGGAGAATTACCCCTACCTGGGCGGGGCGAGGGTTTATGCCGTGTTCCCGTGCCAGGGTCCTGTGACCTCCAGCACCTGCTCAAGGTGTCCTTCCGAGGAGGCTTTCGGACATCCCAGACCCGGTCACTGTCCGCGACGGGTCTGCGGGAGCTGGGTGAGGGGCACCTGCAGTTTGCCGCTTCACCCCGCATATTGGGTGGACTGACAGGGCTGGTTTGTTTGTTTGTTGAGACCGGGTTTTTCTGTGTAGCCCTGGATGCCCTGGAACTCGCTCTGCTGGCCTCGAACTCGGAGATCCGCCTGCCTCTGCCTCCCGAGTGCTGGGACTAAAGCCGTGCGCCACCACCGCCTGGCTGACACGGCTATTTTTAATCGGAGGTAGGATTTTAGTTTTTTAAACCAGGAATCCCAGCTGACCTCGAACTCGGGGTCTCCCGGGTTTCTCTTCCAGTCTCCGCCTTCGGAGTTTCTAGGTACGCACCTCCATATCTAGCTTCCATCATTTTGTTCCTACGTAGGTCCGTGTGGGACGCTTGGCCTTCTCCCTAATTTTGCAGGTTACTTTGAAAACGTTGACTGCTCCCTGGCTCAGGCCATCTGGAGGGGCTCTGCCCTGGAGGATTCCCTCTGAGCACTGACTCGCTTGGCAACGTGGAGCAAAACGGGAGGAAGCTGACAAAGTTTTCTCTCCGAGGGCAAGCAAGTACTGGAGGAAATCACAAGCAGCCGTTCTCTTACCCACTCCTACCACTGCCGTTTTCTGATCCACCCATCGTCCTGAGGCAGTGAGATTCGAGGAAGCTGGGACTGAGTCTGACACAGTGGCTTTTGCTCGGTCCTTTTTGCTTCCCTCGAGACAGGGTCTTGCTCTATTGCCCAGTCTGGCCTTGAAGTCCAGTGGAGGCAACATTCCTGCCTCAGCTTTGGTGGGTAGCTGGGACTGCAAGTGCGCAACGCTTGCTATTACTGGGGCAGGCCTGACGGAGTTTTGTAGATAAGAGTAACTTAAGATGTGTGGAGTCATTTTCTGCTGATGACTTACCCACTGGAGCCAGAAATCAAAGCTTCTGTTAGAACCTCTCAAATAGCAAGCTCCCGCCGGGCGGTGGTGGTGCACGCCTTTAATCCCAGCACTCGGGAGGCAGAGCCAGGCGGATCTCTGTGAGTTCGAGGCCAGCCTGGGCTACCAAGTGAGTTCCAGGAAAGGCGCAAAGCTACACAGAGAAACCCTGTCTCGAAAAACCAAAAAAAAAAAAAAAAAAAAAAAAAAAAAAATAGCAAGCTCCCCTGACTTGTTCCCTTGTTATCTTTCCATACGTGTTTCCACCATTTTCTTGATGGAAAGGCCCCATACCCTCAACCATCTTGTCAACCATCTTGGTAGTCTCCGATCCACCCCCACCTCCCTAGCGAGTCGTGTGTCGTCGTCGTCGCCGCCCCCCCCCCCCCCCCCCCCCCCCCCCCGACCATTTTTCAAACTGCTGCTGGAGGGATTGTTGAAAACGCAGTACCTCAGGAAAGAAGGTGCCGAGCATCAGGTTTTGTGGTTGGTTGGTTGGAGGTTTTATTGAGACAGGATCTCTGCAGCCTCATCTGGCCTCAGACCTACAGTGAGCTCTTGCCTGAGCAAGGATTGTAAGGGTGAACCACTGTGCTTTATTTGTTTCTATTTCTCACTTACTCTAGTTTTTAAAAAGGTGTGTGTGTATACGTGTGTATGCTCCATGTGTGTGGGTGCCCAAGGAGGCTGGAAAAGGACATTGGTTCCCCTGTAACCTGAGTTAGACGTAGTTACATGTTGCTGAATGTGGGTGCTGGGAACGCAAAACTGAGGTCCTCTGGAAGAGCAAGCACCAAGCACTCTTAACCATGGAGCCATCTCTACACCGCACTGTTCTAATAAGCTCCAATTTTTATGTGCAATGTTCTTTGACCATGACATTGAAGACTAGAGTAAAAAAACAGCTTAACATGAGGTCTTACAGAGCCATAGCCTAGTACTTCTCCAGTATACTAACTTTCCGGAGTACTGTCCGGTTCAACTAGAAACCTTGGATGTCATTTCTTAAACCTGTGTATTCTCCCTGTGTAGACTGCTCACTCTGACATTCTCTGCTTACCTGACTAGAGAACTCCACTCTGAACAGTGAGATGACAGTTTTCACAGAAGTCCCTCTGTGCCTCTCCTCCCAGGTTTCTTTACATCACTTTATCTCGTTGTGGTGGTGTTTCTCGTGTATTGCCTTTGTAATGCTGAACTCCTTCCAAGACTAATTTATCTCTGTATTTTTAGAACTTAGTGTTCTTGTATGTATGGGGCAGTTTAAATACATGTGCCTTGAACTGTTGTGGAATATTATTTTAACTAGGCAAAGATGTGTTCATTTGTTTATGCCGCAGACTATTACTTTAACTGTGTAAAGGTGTGTTGCTTTTGTTTATGATGCATTTTGTTTAACGATGTAAGGATGTGTGTTTAACTATGTAAAGATGTGTTGCATCTGTTTCACCTTGCCTGCCTAAGGCACCTAATTGATCGAATAAAAAGCTGAACAGCCAATAGCTAGGCAGGAGAAAGGATAGATGAGGCTGGCAGGGAGAGAGAATAAATAGGAGAAATCTAGGCTCAAGAGAAGAGGGAGAAAGAAGGAAGAGAGAATTAGGGAGATGCCAGCCATACAGAAGCAGTGAAATAAGATATACAGAAGGAAGAAAGGTAATAAGCCCCGAGGCAAAAGGTAAATAAAGAGAAACAGATTAAGTTAAAAGAGCTAGCCAGAAATGTGACTAAGCTAGGCCAAGCATTCAAAACTAATAATAAGTCTCTGTGTCATGATTTGGGAGCCTGGTACATTGAACAAGTTGGTTTGCTTTATATTCATGATGAGAGATGGAGTTGTTACTAAACTACCTATCTAGGGCCAGGTGATGAGCAGTTGTAACAAGTCTTTTTCTGTCCTGCCAGCCAGCTCCCAAATACCAACACAGAGACTTTGTAGTGGGTAGCCGTTCCAGCTTTGACTTGGAAGTGCCACCCCCAATTGAGGCTTCAGTAACTGTCATGCCTACAAGGCGGAGCCGAGAGAGGACCCTGAAGACCCGAGATCCGGATGGGCCGGCTCTCTCAGTTCCTGGATCCTGGATGCTGGAGGTACACTGAGTAGAGTTCTCCAGAGAACACCGCTGGACTGCGCTTCACCTTTCACAGACCCTGTAACCTATCCCTTCACTTGTAAGTTACCCCATAGAATAAACCTCCCTTTTAACTACATCGAGTTGCCTTCATATTTAAACCAATAAGACTTCTTGCCGGGCGGTGGTGGCGCATGCCTTTGATCCCAGCACTCGGAGGCAGAGCCAGGCGGATCTCTCTGAGTTCGAGGCCAGCCTGGTCTACAGAGAAAGGCGCAAAGCTACACAGAGAAACCCTGTCTCAAAAAAAAAAAAAAAAAAAAGACTTCTTGTGAAAGTTCAGCCTATAGCTTAGGCTTGTTCCTAACTAGCTCTTATAACTTAACCCATTTATTTTAATGTAAGTCTATCGAGTGGCTCATTACCTAATCCCATGCTGCTTCCTCCAAGTCTGGCTGGCGATTCTGCCTTCTTCCCAAGTCCTCTCTGTCCCTGGAAGTCCTGCCTAACCTTTTCCTAGCTATTGGCCTTTCAGTCTTTTTTTTTTTTTTTTTTGGTTTTTCGAGACAGGGTTTCTCTGTGTAGCTTTGCGCCTTTCCTGGAACTCACTTGGTAGTCCAGGCTGGCCTCGAACTCACAGAGATCCGCCTGGCTCTGCCTCCCGAGTGCTGGGATTAAAGGCGTGCGCCACCACCGCCCGGCCCTTTCAGTCTTTTATTACACCAATCACATCAATACATTTTCACAGTGTACAACTATCCCAGAGCAATTGGTGATGAGCAGTACTGGGTGCATCTCCTTACTGTGGTGTGCTCTGGGTAATTCTTTATCTTACTGGTTATAAAGCTGAATTCCAATAGCATTTGGAACTTCGGTGCCAGCAGGGTCACACTCTCTGGTAGGAATTGATAAGTCACCGATGGTATAATCATTTTGGAAGAGGTTCAGGTTTAATAAGAGACTCTGTCTCAAAACAAAAATCACCCAAAGTTGGTGGTTTGAATGAAATGCCCCACATTGTCTTAGTTGGTGGCAGTGTTTGGGGAGGTTTTAGCAGTGTGCTCTTGTAGGAGAATGGCACTGGGGGCAGGCATTGAGAGGCTGCCCCAGTTCCTGCTTGCAGTTCAGGACACGACCCTCGGGAACTGTAAGTGCAAATAAACTTTTTTCTGTAGGTTGCCTTGGTTATGGTATTATTGATGATGTGTAAATCTAATTAATCTTATCAATAAAAACTAGGAGTCAGATATCAGGTAAAAACCTGAAAGATCAGAGAAGCAGGGGAGCAGGCACCAGTGACTTCCTACCCCTTCTCTTCCTTCCTCTCAAAGGGCTGAGATCCTGTCTCAGCCCCACTTTATCAGTTCCTGTTTCCTCTCTGTACAGACCTCCAGACTGCTATGGGTAACTAGGGCTAGCTCTGCCCTCTGACTCCAAGCAAGCTTTATTTGTCAGAACACAATAGAAACATTTTATCACAGCAATAAAAAAAGAATACAAAGGTAGAAGTCATCCAATTTCCTTCTCTGACCTCCACATGCATGTGAACTCTCACGTACATGTGCAAATACACAACACACACAAATAAAAAATTACAGTCCTCTTGCCTTTGCCTCCTGAGTGTTCAGACTGGAGGCCTGCACCGGTCACACCCAAGTCTGCCCCACAAGATCCCCTAAGAACTCTGAACACACCTTCCTGCCTGTGCTGGCTAGTTTTATGTAAAGGACATGAGCTAGTCACTTGGGAAGAAGGAACCTCAGTTGAGAAAATGCCCCCACCAGATTGGCCTGTGGGCAAGCCTGGGGGCATTTTCTTGATTGGTGTGGGAGGGCCCACTTGCTCTTGGCACTGTGGTCCTGGGTGCTAAAGAAAGCAGACTGGACAAGCCATGGGGAGCCAGCCAGTGAGCAGCATTCCTCCATGGCCTCCAAAGCAGTTTCTACCTCTAGGTCCCTCCCTTGAGTTTTGCCCTGAGCTCTCTGGAATATGAACTACAAGTTGTAAAGTGAAATAAAACCTTTCCTCCCCGAGTTCCCTGTGGCTGTGGTTTTTGGTCACAGCAGTAGAAACCCTAAGATACTGCCCTTTTCCCTTCAACTGAGACTTGCAACCCATCTCCCAGTCTCTTTGGTTTTGCTTCTAGCTTCTTTATATAATTTAGAGTCCACATTCCATCATTTCAGCCACAAACTTTGTTTTACTGGGTGGCTCTGGCTGTCCTGGAACTAGCTCTGTAGCCCAGGCTGGCCTCAAACTCACAGTGATCTGCCTGCCTCTGCCTCCCAAGTACTGGGATTAAAGGCATGCACCACCGCCACCACCGCCCGGCTTTCAGCCACATCCTTTTATTTTATTTTGAGGATCATATTTTCATTTTGGAAACTAAAAAGTGCCCCCAGGGTCGGTGATCATTAAGGGGAAATCCCTGAACGTACTCCCCAGCCAAGAAGGCAGGCAGGGCTGCCCGCCTGCACGGGAAGAGGCAGCAGCTTCCTACAGCACCACTACAGACACTGTGAGGACCCCACAGGGCAGTTCCTCTGCCCTCCGAAACACAACTTTCCTCCCATCGTGGAGGCAGAGCAAAGAGGGGCCAAGGGGAAAAGTACGCCGGCTCCGGATAAAGTACAAATTTCTACCTCTCATCTCTGTAAAACGTCCATACTCAGGTCTACACCGGCGCCTAGGGGTTTGAAAAGCTGGGAAGAAAATGAGTTCGTTTTCAGCCACATTCTTACCTGAGGTGTTTGCTTTGTTTTGAGGCTGGATCTTAATGTGGAGCCCTAGCTGGCCTGGAGCTCAGTATGTATAGACCAGGCTGGCTTTGAACTCACTGAAATCATCTTCCTGTGTCTCCCCAAGTGCTGGGATTAAAGGTGTGGGCCACCACTTATCTGAGTTTTGTTTTGTTTTTTTTTCTTTAAAGGAGGATTGCATTTATTTATTTGTATTGGTGCTTTGCCTGCATGGATGTCAGATCTTGGAGTTACAGACAGTTGTTAGCTGCCATGTGGGTGCTGGAGATTGAACCCAGGTCCTCTGGAAGAGCAGTGAGTGAGTGCTCTTAACCACTGAGCCATCTCTCCAGCCCCTTTTTCTTCCTTTCTCATGTATATGGATGTTTTGTGTCTGTGCACTATGTGTGTGCCTGATGCCCATCAAGACCAGAAGAGTATGGGTCCTCTGGGACTGGAGTTAGACAGTTGTGAGCCACCATGTGGGTCCTTTGGGAAAGTGGTCGGTTCTCTAAATCACCAAGCCATCTCTCGAACCCTACCTTGAGTTCTTGATTCTTTTTGTTATGTTTTTCAACACCATTTCTCTGTGTAGCCCTGGAACGCACTCTGTAGACCAGGCTGTCCTCGAACTCAGAGATCTGCCTACCTCTGCCTCCCCAGTGTTGGGTCTAAAGTCATCTACCACCACTGCCTGGCATGAGTTCTTGCTTTGTGGTGGTTTCATTGCAGCTGCCAAGCTAAACTATTAATTTTGGATTAAATTAATGTTCATGATGCCAAAAGGCTCTCAATACTGTATGTTTCTGTAAGTTGTGTTTTCAGAACTCTCAGGCTGTCGGTCCTGTCCTGCACATTGGCTCATTTTACAAACTACCTCCTAGTCCTTCTTTACAACCTGTACTTCTCAGACATTGGATAGGAATGTATGGGTGTGTGTACAGGTGTGTGGAGGTCAACTATGCTGGCTCCCTGATGTCTGGCCAGTGAGCTCCAGGGGTCTCCCTGCTTGTGCTGCCCTAACCCTGGGGTCACAAGTGCATACTGCACCCAGCTGCTTCTTTTTTTTTTTTTTTTTTTTTTGGTTTTTCAAGACAGGGTTTCTCTGTGTAGCTTTGTGCCTTTCCTGGAACTCACAAAGATCCACCTGCCTCTGCCTCCCGAGTGCTGGGATTAAAGGCATGCGCCCCCACCGCCTGGCAACACCCAGCTTCTTAATAAGTGCTAGGAATCTAACTTGGGGCTGGATGCTTATACAGCAAGTAGTTTACTGACTAAGGATTTTTCCAGCCCCATCCTCTCAAACATCTGTCATCCCTCGACTGGTCTGTTGGCCTATAAGGCAGGTGATGTAAGATAAGCAATCACGGCCAGTTGTAGCGGTGTGTGCATTGAATCCCAGTGCTCGGGAGGCTAAAACAGTAGGATGTGGAGACTGAGTCCAGCCAAGACTAAAGGGAGACATTCAAAATCAAGAGATCCTAAGTTCTGAAAGAAAAGCAGGAATTTGCCAGAAACACTAAAAAAGGAGAAAAGAAAATGGAGAAGTATTTCTCTTTGGCTGGAGCATTATGTGGATGTGTGGATGTGTGCTGAGCTGGCCTGGAATTGGACCTGGTGGCACAGGCCTGTAATCCTTACTGCAGGCTTGGTGCCTGCCTGGTCAACTTAGAAAAAGAAAAAAGAAGCTGGTGTATAGCTCGTAATCTCATTTACTTGCCTGGCATGTGAGAGGCTGTAGATTCAACCCCTGGCACTTAAGTACCCACTGAGGCAGAAACTGAAATTCTGAATTCAAGGCCAGCTTGGGATACATAGTGATACCCTTTTTGAAGAAAACAAAAACCAAAATCCACAAACCAAACAACAAAGAAAGTCTGAGTCTCATGGAACTGGAGTTACACTTGTGAGCCACCATGTGGGTGACTATGATGAGTAAGTCTGTGGTGGAGAGATGGGAGAGCAAGCAGTGGAGCAGCCTGGGCATCAGGAAGAGGGGTGGAACTGGAGGCCAGAGGCGTCCTGATGTGAGAGGCCTGCACTACCACCTGAGGCCACGCCTGAGTCCTTGGCCCTCCTGCAGCTGGGAGCTGTGCTGATGTTGATGTAACAAGGCTTGTGTTACCACCAAAGGCCATTTGGATGTCTGTGGTCTGGGCTGCTGTCTGAAGCCATGGTGACATACCAGGGCCTTGCTGAGCTGGCCCCACCCCTCACCTGGGCAGTGAGGGAGAGCTGGCATCCGTGCGTGGGTACAGGAGAGCTAGTGGGCTAATTAACTCAACTACCTCCAGGCTTTGAGCTGGCCTACCCCAGTATCAATTCCATCTGTGAGCTGCTGGAACTTGTGTAGGGCCCGGTCCTGCAGAACCATAGCTGCAGGATCTCCCTGGCTCTGGGCAACAGGATATCTGAGTGGAGTCTTAGTGAGGGTCCAGTATTGACGGTGTAGCAGAAGCCAGAGGCCTTGAACCAGACTAACAACTCACTGCAGTGAACATTTGTAACTAAGATGTTTGGGCAAAAGGGTCTACTGCATGACACACTGCAGCTTCCAGTGCCAGTACAACTAACAATATGTGATAGAGAGACGGGAGAGACCAGAGGAGCAGAGTGGTCCACACACAGCAGGACTGTGAGTGAGAGGGAGGGGCTGCGGTTGACAGGAGCAGGTCATGCCCAGAGGGGTCGGCAAGATGGTTGGCTTTTTTTTTTTCTTTTGTGGGGGAGGTTATAAGGGAGGAGGGCAGATATGGAAAGACTGGGAAATGAGGGGGGTTAGGGTCCATCAGGTGAAATTCTCAAAGATTCAATTAAAAAATTTGTTTTTTTTTAAAAGCACATAGCTATAACTCAGAATTTGAGAAGTAGGAGGATTTCAATTTTGAGGCTAGTCTAGGATACAAATTGAGACCCTAGACCCCATATTAAAAGGACAAAATTGGGGGCTGGAGAGATGGCTCAGTGGTTAAGGGCACTTCTGCTCTTCCAGAGGTCCTGAGTTTAATTCCCAGCAACCACATAGTGGCTCACAACCATCTGTAATGAGATCTGGTGCCCTCTTCTGGCCTGCAAGGACTCATGCAGACAGAACACAGTATGTACAATAAATAAATCTTTAAAAAAAAAAAAAAAGAACAAAATTGGAGAGGCAGAGTTATCATAGGGCTGAAGTAAAGAAAATAGCCAGCAAACAAACAAACAAAAAAAAAACAAACAAGCCAGGCAGTGGTGGCGCATACCTTTAATCCCAGCACTCGGGAGGCAGAGCCAGGTGGATCTCTGTGAATTCAAGGCCAGCCTGGTCTACAGAGCGAGATCCAGGACAGGCACCAAAACTACACAGAGAAACCCTGTCTCGGGGGGGGGGAAAAAAAAAAGAAAGAAAGAAATTGGCCAGCGTGGTGGGCCTTTAATCCCAGCACTTGTAAGACAGAGAGGCAGGTGGATCTCTGTGAGTTCAAGGCCAGCCTCAGCTACAAAGTGAGTTCCAGGATAGCCAGGGCTACACAGAGAAACCTTTTTTTTTTTTTTTAAAGTCTGAGGTTGGGGAGAAGGCTTTATGGGTAAGATGGCTTCCTCTGCCAGCATGAAGACCTGAGTTCAAAACCTCAGTAGCTATGTAAAAAGCAAAAAGCATGGCTGCATATGCTTGTAAGCCCAGAATTGGTGATAAAGATAAATGGATCCAGAGGTTGGTCAGCCACACTAGCCTAAATGTCAAGCTTCCAGTTCCTTAGCAGACCCTGTCTCAAGGCTATAAGGAAAAGTAATAGGAAGACACCCATGTCCTGCTCTGGCCTCTGCATGCATGGGCACATGTGTCCACACATGAATGCTTCAACCAGAGGGGAGTCGCAGGCATGCAAGAGATTAATTGACTGGTAGAGAGTTGTGCTAAGCAGGTATGGCAGTGGGTACAGAAGTGAGTGCATTATTTTATGAGTATGGTGTGTGGGTAATTTTGTGTACAAGAAAGTGCACCTGTGTTCATATGGCGGCCAAGGGAAGACATCAGCTGTCCTCCATCTTTGCGTTCCTCCTTTGAGGCAAAGTCTAACTGAATCTGAAGCTTGCACTTCGGGCATAGGCTGGAAGTCAGCAAACCCCAGTGATCCTCTTGTGCCCACCTTATTCAGTGCTGGGAATGCACCTGGCTTTGTTTGATTTTTTTTTTTTTTCCCCTGAGGCAGCATTTCTCTATGTAGCCCTGGCTGTCCTGGAACTCACTCTGTAGACCCGGCTGGCCTTGAACTCACAGAGATCCACCTGGCACCTGGCTTTTTTGTAGATCCTGGGAATGAACTACAGTCTTCATGTTTGCAGAACAAACAACCTTAACTCCTTAGCCATCTCTCTAGACCAGTCAAGTGCATTAAGAACGAGACATTTAGGCTGAAGAGACAGGACGTAGGTGCCATGATGTTTGATGTCTACATTCAGGAAAACACGGAAGTCTAAGCGAAGGGAACAGCTGAGTTTTGGAAATGAGTTTGAGGTGCAGAGAGAAGACGTGTTCCTATGACATTGAGTGAGCAAACAGACCTTGAACTCCAGTGAGTATCTGGGATGGAACTGACCCAAGGAGCCATCAGCATAAATGTGATAACTGAAGCCTTGGGGGGTGTGAGACCCATAAGAGAGGATGGGAGGGTCTGAGGAAATCAGGCTTGTGACGGAATTTTGGGGATGTGATTAAAGGCTAAATAGATGGGGGCGGGGAATGTGGGTCGATGGTCGAGTGCTGGCCTAGCATACAAAAGGCCCTAGGTTTGATCAGCAGTGAAAACAAACAAAACTGAGAAATGACGATGCTCCTGTGGAAGAATGGCTGAAAGGATGGGAAAAAACAAAAATATTCCAGATCATGTAAAGCATGACTGCAGTTCAAAATTGAACTCTTAGACTATACTTCAATACCTTGCAGTCCTGTATACACATGTTTCTCATGCTGGACTGCAAAATCTACTGGCCTTGTTCATTAGTTTACCCTAGCATATTCTGCATGTTATTTAGCACATGGTAGCTAGTAAAATAAAGGGGCCATACGGGATGCTCACCAGATTGTGTAAAGTGCCTTTCCTAATGAGTATGTTCTAAACTGCATTTCATTTCAAGCTTTGTGGCCAATGATGAATAAAAGGGGGATGGAACTTGGGACCTTGGAAGTTCTGTAACTAAGACATGGAAGTAACAACAGCTAGCCAAGACAAAAAGAATGTTCCTTTCTTTCCCCTTCCAAGTTCTTAGTGAAGGGCCGAACCCAGGATCCCAGACTTGTGTGACTAGGTAAATATTAGGAGACTAACTTCACTTTGGTACCCTCCCCTCAGTGGCCTCAAGGTGGCTTCTCGGGAGACAGAGGCTTCTAAGCACCAAAGCGCTCCACTGCGCAAACCTAACATCATGCGGAAGGGAGACACTTCGGAAACAGCATCAATTACCCCAGCCTATCGCTCGGTCATGGAGGAGTATGGTTATGAGGTGGGCAAGGTCATCGGCCATGGCTCCTATGGAACAGTCTATGAGGCTTACTACACAAAGCAGAAAGTCATGGTGGCTGTCAAGATCATCTCAAAGAAGAAGGCCTCCGATGACTACCTTAACAAGTTCCTACCGCGTGAGATACAGGTCAGAAAGGGAGCTGGAAGAGGGAACTGAGGCTTATTAATAAGCTCCTTGAGGTATCTTAGGGGTAAACCATAGAAAGGGGTTGATCCAGAAACCTCCAAACCAGAACTGAAAGTCTTAAGTAGGAAAATCCTGTAATGTATATCCACATAACTTCTTTCCTGTGTACAAACATCCAGCCCACTATCCATCCCCCTGAGTGAAAATGCAAAATGGAATTTACCCAGACACCCCTGATTCTGTTGCAAGTTGTAAGTAGCAATGGGAGAGCAGAGAGGCCAGCACAGCCAGCGTTTGCCAGGCTTGATGGTTCCCTCTTTTGGGATCAGGTAATGAAAGTCTTACGGCACAAGTACCTCATCAACTTCTACCAGGCCATCGAGACCACATCCCGAGTATACATCATTCTGGAGCTGGCTCAGGGCGGTGATGTCCTCGAATGGATCCAACGATATGGGGCCTGCTCTGAGACCCTTGCTGGCAAGTGGTTCTCCCAGATGGCCTTGGGCATCGCCTACCTGCACAGCAAGGGCATTGTGCACCGGTGAGGAGAGTCACCGGACCGGGCTTTGGGCACTCAAGGGGGTTGGATGCATATTGCCCATTTTCTGCCCTTTCCTCTTGACTTCTCTCAATATCTAAGTCCACTTGTTCGCCATACTGTAATCATCTGGTCAAGGACACCTGCACCCACTGTGTGGGAGCACTTTATACACAGTGGTGAACTAGTGGCCTCAGGTACCATCCTCTCTCCCGTTTGGGCTCTGTTCACAACTCCATGGCTTTGGATCTTCTTCTTCTTCTTTTTTTTTTTTTTTTTTTTGAGATGGGGTTTCTCTATGTAGCCTTGGCTGTCCTAGATCTCACTCTGTAGACCCGCCTGCCTCTGCCTCCCGAGTGCTGGGATTAAAGGCGTGCGCCACCGCCGCCCGGCCCCTCTTTAATTCTCATAGACACCTCCCTCCCTCTTAGCCTGTCCTCAGCTCTAGTCTCTGGACCCCTTTCCTTTCAGCTCCCGGTCTAATACTAAGCCCTCTCCCCAGCCTGACCCCCAGCCTTTCTGCTGCTGGTAGGGACTTAAAGTTGGAGAACCTGTTGCTGGACAAGCGGGAGAATGTGAAGATATCGGACTTTGGCTTCGCCAAGATGGTGCCTTCTAGCCAGCCTGTGCGTAGTAGCTCTTCCTACCGCCAAATGAGCTGTCTTTCTCATCTCAGCCAGACCTACTGTGGCAGCTTTGCTTATGCCTGCCCGGAGATCTTGCTAGGCTTGCCCTACAACCCCTTCCTGTCTGACACCTGGAGCATGGGCGTCATCCTCTACACTCTAGTGGTTGCACGTCTGCCCTTTGATGACACCAATCTCAAGAAGCTGCTGAGAGAGACCCAGAAGGAGGTCACTATCCCAGCTAACCTCAACATCTCCCAGGAGTGCAAGGTGCTGGCTCCCCCAGGAGGGCTGAGGCCTTAGGGATTGACCCATGGGGAGGGGAAGTAAATACTGAATTTAGGCCTCCCAACTCCCACCCCCCGGGGGGGGGGGGTGCTTTTCTCATGCTAGAGCCATCTCTAGTTCCTACCCAAAATGTCGAGGAGGGCTCAAGAGGGTCTAACCACTGAGCTTCAAACCTTAAATATGCTTGATAGTTAGGTTCCAGTATTGAGCAGTTTGGGGCAGAAGGGATCACACAAAGAGCTCTTCTCGTTTCTTGCAGGGTTCCTGCGTAAAACCAGGGCCCCAGCCCCTTCCACCAGAGTAGTGTGATGGGTTATCCTGCTTCTTTCTTAGGTCCAGCTGTTCACTGCCTGTGTGGCCCAAAGAGGGGGCACGCTCAGCCAAGCCCTCTCTCTCCCCTGCCCTAGAACCTGATCCTCCAGTTGCTACGCCTAGCGACCAAGCGCGCCACTATCCTGGATGTCCTCAAGGACCCCTGGATGCTCAAGTTCCAGCCCGAGCAACCCACGAATGAGATCAAGCTGCTCGAGGCCATGTATCAGTCTGCCAGCGCCTCTAACCGGCACCAATCCTTGGAAATCACAGCTTGAAGATGGCTGAGGTGGGGGGCCAAGGAGAAAAGCAGGAGGCTCGGGGGGAAATCTTTTCTATAAAAATAAATCTAATTAGTTTCATCATGTAGGGTCAAAGACATTCTTTCCTCAACAGAGTCTTAGTGGAGAACATACGAAGGGTGGATTTCTGCCCCAAGCCTGGAACCCTTCCTCTTTTTTTTTTTTTTTTTGAAGGGGGGAACCCTTACTCTTGACACATGTAAAAGTTAATGACATTGACTTGGGGAAGCTTTACTATGCCAACTACGTTTGTGGCTCTCATTTCACATCTTTGTTCTCTAATGTTCTAGCAGCAGATGGGACAAGGAGGGAAAAGCCCGGCTTGTTCTGTTGGACTCTGGCTCTGCCCATTTACATGTTCAAAGCAATAGCACTGTTCTTTCTGTTTTGTGTCTACTCCCAACTTGGGTAAAAGTTTTCACTGGAAAGAGGAGCTAGCAAAGGAGCAGGACAGCCTGTTTCTCAGTGCTCATGCTGCCTGCTGACATGATCCACAGAAACGTTAGGGCTTACTTAGTGTCTTGGTGCGCTTTCCTCCGGTAACACTTCAACCACTCCTGAAAGAATGCTGGGGACCCAGGGCTCCTAGATACTGAAGTAACAGAGTTCAAACCCAGCTTCATGAACTGTGGGTTCTGGATAGAGGAGAGCTAGTTACCCCTACGGAAGAAAACTGAAGCTATCTTGTTAGAGGCATGACTGAGCCAAGCAATGAGAAAGACTCACATTGGCTCCTCATATCTGATTTCCTCTCTTCTCTCTTCCCCTCCCTTCCTCCTCCAAGTATCCTAGAACTCCCTCTGTAGCTCAGACTAGCCTTAAACTCATGATCCTCCTGCCTTAGCCTCTAGAGCGCTGGGATTACAGGCATGTCCCACCAGGTCTGGCTATCAGCATGTTTCTAAGCTAATTTCCCCACCTCCCATTTTGTTTGTTTGTTTTGAGACACAGGGTATAACTGTGCAGCCCTGACTGGTCTGAACTCAGAGATCTGCCTGCCATTGTCTCCTTGAGTGCTGAGGTTAAAAGCATGTGCTACCACACCTGGTATTGATAGCAATTTCTTTATTTCTTTCTTTCTCCCGCCCCGCGCCGCCCCCCCCCCCCCCCACCCCCAGACAGGGTTTCTCTGTGTAGCTTTGGAGCCTGTCCTGGACCTCGCTCTGTAGACCAGGCTGACCTCGAACTCACAGAGATCCACCTGCCTCTGCTTCCGGAGCTTTGGGATTAAAAGCGTGCGCCGCCGCCGCCACCACCACCTGGCCAATGGCCATTTCTTAACCTCAGGCACTAGGCAACTCTATGACAAATGAAACTGAAAGGTAGCAGAACACAGCCGGAGATGTCGGAAATGACCACTCATTTCCTCAGCTCCCGTTCTTCACTCATCACTTGTCACTGCTGAGAACAAGGCTCTAAGAAGCAGCAGGAAGAACCTCAGGTACAGACAAGACCTGCAGACACTAGGGATCCATCTACCCAGTTTTACTGGAGACAAAAATCAGTCTTCCGCTACCAAAAAGAAGGGAGCCGAGGGGCTCCTTCTGCAGCAAGACCCTTCTTCAAAGCTCAGCCAAAGAGGGGAGAACAATGGGCCCTTCTGTCACACTGCCACCTCAGCAGGAAAGTCCCAAGCCACGCTCCTTCCGTTAGCTGGCCCGTTAGCGCTCAGTGTTTTGCACCCCAGGATGCAGTAGGAAGACACCCCAAACTCTCAGGACACCCCGCCTGCCAATTGTGCTTCTTTGTCTTTGTCCTTTCTGGAAGCTCGGGGAAGAAGGAAGTATTAAAGGCTTCGAACTTCCATCCAGCTCCTGCTCTGACACCTACAGCCTCTCCAGCAAAAACAAGATTTGTGCTTGATGATGCTATTTCCCACAGCAGCCCAGTACCAATGGGAAAAACAAACACTAACACTTACATTTGCATCCCTAAATGAGGACCCACAGCTTGCTGAGGGGAGCACAGGCTGGATTCGGCTTTCAGTCCCCATTCCCTTTCAGTCAGATGCTGTAATGCAGTCAGCAGTCTGGATACCCGAAGCAGCAGCAGCTTCTGCCTGGCTCCTCTGTGACTCGACAGATAATACAGACAGTAATAAGAAGACAGTAACCTTCCCAACTGTCTGTCACCCTCTCAAGTCTTTAACGAGTGTTCTGGGTACCTGGCCCTGCAGGCAGACCTGTGTAAGGTACCTAGACAATCTGACCAGGGGTTCTTCCTCCTTGCTGCCCACACTTCACACTCCTGAGTTACTTCCTCTTGCTCCAGATCCTCTAGATCTTGCAGCAATTCATCCTGGACACACGATGACAGGACTGGCCAAGACAAAGAAAACAACCAGTCCCCAAAGAGCACACTTTGGAAATTCCCTCCCAAGGTTGTTCTGAGAGTCTCTCTTGTGTTTCCTTCTGAGCGGTCCACGACTTTTTCCAATATTCTCTGACCTCCTCACCCAGTCACCCCATCCACACCATCTCCAGAACCCTTAGGGCAAGGGATGGCCTCTGACATGTGCTGGGCCAGCTCCTGCTGTCCTGCGATGTCACCCAGCAGTTCCTCTACCTTGTCAATGTCATGAAGAACAAGACACACTGCCATGGACTCAGGGGGCACCCTCCCTCCAGCTCCAACCCCCCCCATCCCCCTAACCATCATTGGCTTTCTCATCTCACACAAATGAAGCCTTTCCATCATATGGCCTCACACTGGATTTCGCGCTCCTTCCCTTTAAAAAGCTTTAAAAACGAATGGATTTTTCTCACCTAGAATGCCCTGGCCAGCAAGAGGATCTTTCATGAAGAACGCAAGGAGGTAGTCTAACCATCAGATATATTCTATCTGAGAAGCTTTAGAAATCCGAAGTAAGGGCTGGAGAGAAGACACAGTGAAAAGGACGGAAGTTTGGTTCCCAGGACCCACACAAGGCAGCCCCCAGGCGCCTGTTAACTCCAGCTCTAGGAGATCCAACACCTTCCTCTGGTTTCTGTAGACACCCGCGCACACACTGCATAAACACACATAGACATGCACATATACACATAAATAAAAAGAAATCTTAAAAAACAAAAACAAAAACAAAAACCGAGCTGGAGAGATGGCTCAGCAGTTAAGAGCACTGGTTGTTCTTCCAGAGGTCCTGAGTTCGATTCCCAGCAATTGAACAGGTGGCTCAGAGCCATCTGTAATGAGATCTGGTGCCCTCTTCTGGCCTGCAGGGATATGTGCAGATGGAAAACTATACATAATAAATAAATCTTAAAAAAAAAAAAAAAAAAAAACCTCAGAAGACAAAGAGGCAGGCAGATCTCTGTCAGTTTGAGGTTGGACTGGTCTACATAGAAAGTTCTATGACAGCCAGGGCTGCATAGTCCCTGTCTCAAAAAAAAGACAACCCACCCCCCCACACACACACATAGCACTCAAAACAAAAAGAAAAGAAAGTCTTGCAAAGAACCCATTTGTTCCCAACACCCACATCTGACAAGTCACAACCACCTGTCACTCCAGTGCCAGGGGATCTGATAGCCTCTTTTGGTCTATGTGAGCGCCTGCACTCATGTGTACATACCCTCCCCCCCCCCCCCCCCCCACACACACACAGTGAATATGTATGTAATCTTTTTTTTTGGTTTTTCGAGACAGGGTTTCTCTATGTAGTTTTGCTCCTGTCCTGGAACTCACTTTGTAGACCAGGCTGGCCTCGAACTCACAGAGATCCACCTGCCTCTGCCTCCCGAGTGCTGGGATTAAAGGTGTGCGCTACCACCACCCGGCAGTATGTAATCTTAAAAATAAGTTCAAAGTATTGACACAAGCCACGCTCCTAGTGCCCAGGTCCCCTTCTGCATTGGTGGTGGCATTCTCAATGGCCTCTGGCTGAACGTCCAGGGTGGACAACCTCCCATCAGTTTGTGCCAGCTTCTGTTCTAACCTTTTCTTTCTCCACAAAGCCTGCAGGGTGGCCGATGCAGCCCACACCCTGAACATCAGAGTCAGAAGTACCCGCTTCCCCCTGGACCCTCCCCAGTACCCTTCTTCTTCATTACTTTGCTTATTCTTGGTCTCATGCTTTCTGGCTGTTTATCACTCCTGTTGAGTCTTCTGCTCCAGAAATTCCTGTTTGATCAGAATGTCATCTGTCTTCTTCAGTTTCGATATGGCTTCTTCAGGAGTTAGACTCCTCTCTTCCCTCAAGAGTCCGATGGAGCAGACCTATATTGTGTGGGGGGAAAGTATTAGCCACCAAACAGTGAATACACAGTATATGCTAAGCATTACCATGACTGCTCATCTCTAAATGATTCTCTACAATGAATGCATCAGTATCACTCAACAAATGTGATAACAAGCACAAAGATGTAAACTTTTTTTTTTTGTCTAGAGTCATAACTAGTAGGTTGAGTAAATTAAGTAGTAGTCAAAACATTGTGCTGGATAAGATGGGACAAACCTATAATCCCGGTACTTGGGAGGCTGAGGCAGGAAGATTGCTGCAAGTTTGAGGCCAGCCTGAACTACACGAATTCAAGTCAGCCAAGGCTGTACATAGCAATACCCTGTCTCAAAATGCAAAACAAAGCAAAAAAGGGGCAATCAGACTCCAGAGCCCATGTTCATTTGCTCTTTTTTTTTTAAATCTTATTTATTTTTAATTTTCTGTGCATTGGTGTTATGCCTGCATATATCTATGTAAAGGTGTCAGATCACCTGGAACTGGAGTTGTGAACTGCCATGTGGGTGCTAGGAACTGAGTTGTGAACTGCTATGTGGGTGCTAGGAATTGAACCCTGGTCCCCTGGAAGAACAGCCAGTGCTCTTAACCACTGAGCCATCTCTCCAGCCCCTCATTTGCTCTTCTAAACTTCATTTCAAGTCACATTTTATGGCCATTGTCCCACTTGTTGTCTTAGATGTCAAAGGTCCTGCTCTACATGCTCAAACTAAAGGATGTACAAGGGACTGGGGTGCCAGCAAGAGAATGGGACTTCAGTTTCTTCCTCCATCTTCTATAGTTGAATGATAACCTTTGCAACTAAAAACCTCTGCCTGCTTAAAATCCTCCCATACGCTCTTCATTGCCGACAGGATAAAAATAAAAATCCTTCTGGAATACACAAGGTCTTTGATGATCTGTTTACCCCACCACCAATGCTTTTACATCCTGTCCTTCTTACACTCTCACATCCCACAATCTCAAAACGGCCAGAAGTTCTATTTTCACTAAACTATTGTACTCCTGCTTCTGGAAGGTTCCTTCCCAGAGTTACCTCAGCGCTGCACCTGGCAAACGGTTAGCCTTTCTGAACAGTGTCCAGAGCCTACTTCTCTGCTGTCTTGGGCTTGTCAGGGTCCTCTCCATCACCGAGTTGCCACCCTATACTGCCAACGACTTTTGCTAGACACACCCACACCACCAAATATGAGTTTAAAGGAGATCGTCTTTCTTCTTCACTTCAGACCTCTTTTATTCATACCAAGTAAGCTACAATACTTTAGAAAAGACTGGAAGCAGTCGCCGGAAATCAACTCCTCCGACCCTGTGCCCAGGGAGCTAACAATTACTACACCTTCCGCTCACATCCCCACTCAGTCGGGTTCAAGGCAGGCTGGGGCAAGGCGGCTGGCCAAGGTTGACCTTCTGGCACCAAAGAATGCCGAGCTTGGTCAAGCACCGGGTTTTCTGGTCGGCCTGTCTCCTGGTCCTCTTCCCCTCTGGCCAGCACCTCCCGGAGGCCCAGTCTCTACCCGGCTCACCCTTCCTGAAAAGTCGGCGAGCCCATTCCTTGCCACTTCACCTTTCCCGCTTTCCTCCGAGTCTATCTTCAAACTGAGACCGACCTTGGCCAATGCATCCAGGGCATAGCCGTGACATCATCAACAGGCGCGACCGACCACGGCGGACCGAGGCTAGAGCTCGGTCGGTTCACTCCCCTTCAAGTAGCCGCATTACTCTCTACTACTAAAAAAGGCCAGCCCCAGCCGGGCGGTGGTGGCGCACGCCTTTAATCCCAGCACTGGGGAGGCAGAGACAGGTGGATCTTTGTGAGTTCGAGGCCAGCCTGGTCTACAGAGCGAGATCCAGGAAAGGCGCAAAGCTACACAGAGAAACCCTGTCTCGAAAAACCAAAAAAAAAAAAAAAAAAAAAAAAAAAAAAAAAAAGGCCAGCCCCGACCTTATTCCCAAACAGTGTTAGCTTTATTCCCTACAAGGACACGTGAAGCAGTGAAGACGTTGGAGGGGGACTCGGGATGGGTTCCCACATGAGGGAACAACCTGATGCAGAATCTTTCACACTCTGGTCCCCAGAGCCGCCAAACCCAGTTTACACGTTAGAAAAATGGAAACAACCCATACTGTGGGTAAAAACCTGACTGTCACAAATTACAAATGCATCTGACAAGGCTTTCTTGATTTCTTTTCAGTTTTACACCTCAGATGAGGCTTATCCACAGGGTTAGACCTCAGGGTCCAGCCTGGGCCTTTGCAAATGTCTCTAATCCTTGAGTTAATGTTTGCAGACTCATTCCGTTCTGGATGTGAATGCAGGTAACACCTGGAACAAAAGGAAGTCACATTTACCAGCCTTTCAAGACTACTCGTTATTACTCTCATCTGCCATACATTATCCACCCTACGCTTATTTCCCTACATCCTCCTAAGAACCCTTTCTCCTCCTCCTCCTCCTCCCCCACACACCCCTGTGACTCAGTACCAAGTTTGCCCACATCTATGATATTCCGCTTCTCATCATCAAAGAAGACCATCTGAGCGTAAGGAACTCCAGTCTTGTGGCGCAACCTGTGAAGGACAGGGCAGGGGTAACCCAGCTGCAAGCTGGCTACCTGACCCCGTCTACGCTACTCCACCCGCTCCCACGCTTGGTTGTCTGCCTACCTCTCAAAGTGTGCGACTTTGCTCCCTGGATAGATTTCCCGGTGAACAAAATATTTGGCAAGGTCAAAGAGCTCCAGCAGTTGGTTGGCCCCTTCTATCTCACCTGTCCTGAAAAAAAAGGGCGATGAGCGGCGTTAGGAGAGTGTGAGAGGTGCGGGGTATATGGGGGTAGAGGGGCCGATTGGCTCACGGTTACTCAATACCAGAGATTCTGAAATAGCTGGCGCTGAGCCAATGTTTAATCATTTAAAAGAACAGGAAGCACAAGATAGAAAACCAACGAAATATTTGGACATTTGCACCTCCTAACTTTGGTGCCCAGAGAGTGACATGCAACTTCCTTATGCGTGGAGATGCGTCAGCAAGACTGTCTGTCACTTTTCTTACCGTGAGGCAGCCGCGACCGGCACTCCAAGGCTCTGCAACCGTTCCAAGACTTCCGGCACCTCCGGGTACAGTCGGATGTTCTGGCCCCGCCTATCTCGCACAGTTCCATCGCTGGAGAGGGTGACCCATGCTCAGCTCCCGCAAAGTCCCTCCTGACCCCATACCTTCCTGTTGTCTCACCTGCTCTTGTGGAACGGGGGGTCTACGTGTGTATCAACCCAGAAAGGCCAGAGCGTGTAATCTGCGAGAGGAAGGAGGGAGAAGGTTCGACCTGGAGGAGCGCAGACCCTTAGCCACCGCCGGGAGTGGAAAAGGGAAGCGCCGCACGAAACTGCCTGCTGTTCCTCACCCAGGTCAAAAACCGCAAGCTTTGGCAGCGGCGTCATGATCGGCTCGCAAACCCAAACGGCGCCGAGAGCACCCCAACTCTATGGTGGCCAAGCAGCCCGTGGGCGCGCCACAGAGAACCGGAGACGCTCGGGTGCCTAGAGTGTCGCCGCCCGACAGCTCAAGAGCGCCTTCCGAGGCTCTGGAGGGAGATAACCTGCAGCGGGTGACCACGCTTCTCTCCAAGGAACGGGCCACAAAACGTGTCTACACCACCCACTCACCACTTTGCACTACAGAAGACACGGAAGCTTTCTGTTTTGCACCTTTATCTTAGAATTGAGACCTCATCAGTTTATTACCCTTCGCTTTGTCTTCACATCAGCATCTTGATAGTATAAAAACCAGCCTTCAGCGACAGTGAAAGCAGAGAACGTAGCAGCATCCGCACCCCCGTGATGTGTGCCTTAACCTCAGCTACACAGGAGGCCTAGCCAGGGAGTTACTTGTACCTAGGAATTGAGATCACCGAGGGCAACGAAAATCCAGTCTCACAAAAGGGGTGGAGGGTGTTTGTAAAACCTGAGACGTTCTCCAAGCTAGCTTGAAGGTCCAGCAGGGCTGCACAGGGAGAGGATGTCTTCCCTAGGTTTCTACCATCCTCATGAACAGGATGCTGCTATTCCCATCAATGCTGTGAAGAAAACGAAGGCTCGGGTTTTGTCTCTAATAAGCTTCCAAAAATAAAACATGGTTTTACATGATATGTTTTGCTGTTCATTTGAGACAGACCTCAGGGCTGGCTTGAACTCCTGCCTCGACCTCCCAAATACTGGGATTACAGGTATCACAATGCCAGGCTTTCATGTAACACTTCATATTACTGCAGCACATGCTCATTTCAGTAGGCAGACATACATGTACCACAGGTATGTGCAATGTGTAAATGTTCCATCATGGCTTCCTTTTTGTTGTTTTTCAAGACAGGGTTTCTCTCTGTTGCCCTGGCTATTCTGGAACTAGTGCTGTAGACCAGGCTGGCCTTGAACTCAGAAATGCACCTGAGCCTGCCTCCGGAGTGCCGAGATTAAAGGAGTGCACCATCACCACCCAGCTTGCTCTAGAATTCTTGCTTCTCATGCCTCGGCCTCCCAAGTGCTTACAGGCCTCAACCACCACACCTAGCTACCATGGCTTAAGTCAAGTTACCAAGAGAACCACATAACATGGAGCCAGGGAGAGTGACAGCACTTGGCACTCACGAGCTAGTAAGAGCTGACTGCAGAACAATACAGGGCAGGCTTTCCTAGTCTAATGATCCTTCTAAGGGGCGAGGACCAAACACCATCTGAGCTTGTTTCTCAGGTGGAGCACAAAGCAGACTAAGCTGGCATTTAGAACTTTGAAGAAATGTTTCCTCTGGGTTCAGCATGCCGATCTTTACAAGAGATGACACCCCCATGCAGGGTCACATGGGATAATGGGGTAAAATGTTTTTCAGTTGAAAAACTATGCTGAAGTCAGTTGATGGGGCATGCCTGTAATCCCACCTACTCAGGAGGCTAAGGCAAGAGGATCAAAAATTCAAGTTTAAATTGGGTGTGGTGGAGGCCATCCTGGTCTACATGGTGAGTTCCAGGACAGCCAGAGCTATATAGAAAGACTGTGTCTCAAGAAGATCAAGAGTTCAAGGACAGCCTGGGATATCTATTAAAAAAAAAACCTGTTTCAAAATAAAGAGTATGGCAGACTGATAGCACATGCCTTTAATCCTAGCACTCTGAAGGCAGACAAGTGGATCCATGTGAGTTTGAGGCCAACAAGTTCTTGGCCAGCTGGGGCTACAGTTAGGACCCCGCCTCTTCTCAAAACAAACCTAAGAACGGCACCCTTCCACTGTCCTACTTCTACTGGTTACCACTGTGCCCATTTTTTATTTCAGTCATATGTGGCAAGAAGAAAGATTCCAGGAGGCAAGGAAATCTTTTATTGACAACCAAGGACACAGCCATAGAGAGGGAAGCACACGGGACTGCAGACTAAAACCCAACAGCCAGCAATGGCCATTTGGGCCAGGAACACTGCCCCCTGGGGTCCTCACATTCTCCCACCAGTAGACACACAAGACCGGGCATCCAAGGGAGGGGGCAGTAATTCTGGTGTCCCAGAGAGTGAGAAGACATGTGATGCTTCATTAGGAGCAACAGGGCAAGGAGGGTCATCACTGCCCAAGAGCACCTCCTCCTCTGAGAGCCAAGACCAGGTGGAGGACCGACCCGCCTAGAATCTTGTAATCGGCGGCTGTCTTCTCATCATTCCTACAGGGAGAAAAAAGCATGAGAAATAACATCTACAACGGGCATCTGTAACCTGGGTTTTGTGGATCTCTTTGGGAGGCCTGGGAAATTGGATGAGAAAAACATTCCTTCTTTATTTTTATTAACTCCTAAGTGTAATTAGTACTTAATTTTGAACATAGACAAAAGAGACTCATGGTGTTAACAATAAGGTAACTTACACAATAGAAATTAAATATTTTAAAATTACATTATAACTGTCTGCAGGTATGTTGAAAAAAAAAAAAGCAGCTATCAGACCCATCATTAGACGTTACAGTAGATTTAATGAAGAGGGCTGGAAAGATGGCTCAGCAGTTAAAAGCTCAAACCACTCTTGCAGAGGACTTATGCTCAGATTTCAGTACCCACTTCAGGAGGCTCACAATCTTGTGTAACTACAGCTCCGGGGGTCTGACAGCTCTAGGCACCTGCACTCCAATGCACAGACCTATAAATACACACAGAACTAAACATAACACACTTTAATTCAATATATTTTACTCTATGTCTGGAATATTCTATGCCTTCTCTTATTCTAGAAGATTCCATCTGCTTCACCAAATTGTCAAAGACTGAAAGCAGGGACACACTGAAGTAGAGATAGGCCTGACACACCTCCAGCCTTGCTGCCTCATCTTCACACAAGACTGCCATGCCCCACTTCCCACCCAAACTCACATCTGTTTGCCACTGTAGATGAGTCGCTGCTGTTGTGGGGGGATCCCCTCTTTCTCTTCCACACGCTCCTTGATTCGCTCCACCTTTAGAGGAACAGAGGCCAGAGGACGCTTAGAATTTCAGAAATAGTAAGAACAAAGGCTATGTAGAAGGCACGAGAACAAAAGGACCAAGGTCCCAGGCACATACAGAGACACAAAGGAAGGAGGGAAGACATGCTGAGCATACCTTGTCTGTGGGTTCAATGTCAATCTCAATCTCCTTTCCAGTCAGCGTCTAAAACAGACAAAGATTTCATAAATCCCACAGCCCAAAATCAATTGTCTTCTGTGGTAGACTGAATGAGACTAGCCCCCATGGGCTCATGTTTGCCTACTTGGTCCAGAGTTGATGGAACTGTTTGGAAAGGACTAGGAGGCGTGACCTTGTTGGAGGAAGTGTGTCACTGAGGGTGGACTTTGAAGTTTCAAAAGCTCAAGCCACTCCCAGTTGGTGCTCTCGAGTTCTCTTTTTCTGCCTCATGCTTATAGATCGAGGTGTGAGCTCTCAGCTTCTGCTCTAGCACCATGCCTGACTATCTGCTGCCATGATGGTCATGGACTCACCCTCTGAAACTATAAGCCCCAGATCAAATGCTATCTTTTATAAGTTGTCTTGGTGTGGTAGTTTGAATGTAATTGGCCCTCACAAGCTCATAAGAAGTGGCACTATTAGGAGGTGTAGCCTTGGAGGAAGTGTGTCACTGTGGAAGCAGGCTTTGAGGTCTCACATATGCTCAAGCCATGCTCAATGTCTCAGTTCACTTCCCGTTGCCTGTGGATCAAATGTAGCTTCTTCTCCACTCTCAGCTCCTTCTCCAGCACCATGTCTGCCTGTGTGGTGCCATGTCCCACCATGATGATAATGGACTAAACCTCTGGAACTGTAGGTCATTCAATTAAATGTTTTCTTTTTTCTTTTTTTTTTTTTTTTGTTTTTCGAGACAGGGTTTCTCTGTGTAGCTTTGCGCCTTTCCTGGAACTCGCTTTGGAGACCAGGCTGGCCTCGAACTCACAAAGATCCGCCTGCCTCTGCCTCCCGAGTGCTGGGATTAAAGGCGTGCGCCACCACCGCCCGGCCTAAATGTTTTCTTTATAAGAGCTGCAGTGGGGGCTGGAGAGATGGCTCAGAGGTTAAGAGTATTGGCTGCTCTACCAGGGTCCTGAGTTCAATTCCCAGCAACCACATGGTGGCTCACAACCATCTGTAATTCTGTAATGAGATCTGGTGCCCTCTTCTGACACGCAAGCACACATGTAGGCAGAACACTATATACATAACAAATAAATAAATCTTTAAAAAAAAAAAAAGAGTTGCTGTGGTCATGGTGTCTCTTCACAGTGATAGAAAAGACATCTTCTAAGTACACCATCTTATCTTAGTCTCCAGGGTACTCTCTTCTGAGATGTGTATTCTCAGCAATAGTACCTGGAGGAATCAGAAAGCCTGCACCACAGCTGTGGCATCAGGCAGTCTGAGTAAGACGGGATTCTGTGAACCATTCGATTTCCTTAATGCCACAAGTCACCGCCTTCTGATCTTCACCCCACAACCCCAAGTCAGCAAGACTATCAGGAATTCTTTGGATGATACAGCAATGACAAGTTACCTAAGTAAAGCAGTCCTGCAAGTCAGAAGGACTTTATTCCAGTACAGAAATCACTTTTAGATGATGCAAAGAATTCTCAAGGGCACAAGAAATCACTGTCAACTATGTTTTTTTTTTAAATGCTAGAGTTCAACATTATATTCTTTCCTATGTGTTCTAGAATTCTACCTAAATCCTAAACTATAACCAAAATTTCTTGATTTCCACTGGCTAAAACCAGATAACCAAATATATATACTATCTGTGTACAAATTATAAACTTGTGTTTCATACAACCTAATCTCTTATCCATCCTGCCTCTGTTTTATTTTGACTAGGCAGCCTGGCTGGCCTCAGCCTAACTGCTGCAATTATAGGTGTGTGCCTCTACGGCCCTTTGTATTTGCCCTTACAGATGGATCTGAAGAGTCTGCAGCAATCCTGACCACAGATACCATGTCTGGCCTAGGTTGGGAGTAGTTCTACTGTCCTCAATGTTCTCCTGTCAGACTTCAAGGATCTCTGACTTCTACTTGGGCCAGCAAGAGGGCTCAATGAGTAGAGGCCCTTGCTGCCACACCCAACGACCTGAGTTCAACTCGTGGGTTCCACAGGGGAGGATACAACACCAATTCCTGCAGGCTGTCTTCTGACCTCCCTGTGTCCACACAAATATACATTCATACACACACAGTACATACTTTAAAATTTTACAGTTTTGTAATTTAAAAATTTCCCTGTATAATGCTTCTATATATGTTCCAGTGGGTATCATTAACACTTTTAACACCAATATGACTTTTTTAAAAAAATTCTGAGAGAAGGTCTTACTATGTAGCTCAGGCTGACCTCAAATTCAATAGGTAGTCCAGGCCAGCCTCAAATTTGACATCCTCCTGTCTCTACCTTCTAAGTATTAGAATGTGAGGTGTATTCTATTACCATTGCTTTATTTATTTTAGTTTTTAGTCTTTTGACCTTTATTTTTATTTCATGTGTGTGGGTGTTTTACCTGCATGTGTGTCTGTGCACCACATGCATGCAGTGCCTGTACAAGCCAGCAGAGGGCATCAGATCCCCTGGAACTGGCATTAAGGATTGTAAGCTGCCATGTGGGTGCTACAAATCAGAACCCAGGTCTTTGGAAAGAGCATCAGTGCTCTTAACTGTTGAACCATCTCTCCAGACCCTTCCACCACTAGACTTTCTAAAAGCCCTTGCTCAGCTGGATACAGTGGCACACACCTATTATCCCAGCATTCCAGGGGACAGAGGCTAATTAATAAATGTGAGGTCAGCCCGGGACACATAGTAAGTTCCAATCTCAAAAACACAAAATTAGTGCTGGGGATGTAGCACTGTTGGTAGAGTGCTTGCCTATGATACCCTGGGCTCGGTCACATAAACTGTATAAACTGGACGCAGCAGTGCACCTGCAATCCAATCCCAGCACTTGGGAGGTAGACACAGGAAGATAAGGAGTTCAAGATCATCCTTGGCTATATACAGGTCAAGGCTAGCCTGAGATAACTGAGATCCTGTCTTAATAAAACAAAAAATATTAAATGCAATAATCCCTCACGTGACAAAATAAGGTTTGTAATTCTGTGTTGTCCATAAATCATTTTGTTTTATTTATCTTAATACTTCAAATGCATTTCATTTGAATTTCATAGAATTTCATTTCTAGTTCATTAACTTAGAAGAAGCTGGCCTTTCCCCACCCCTTTAATCCCAGCACTCAGGAGGCGGAGGCAGACGGATCTCTGAGTTGGAGGTCAGCCTGGTCTACAGAGCGAATTCCAGGATAGCCAGGGCTGTTACACAGAGAAATGCTGTCTTAATACGCACCCTGGGGGTGGGGGAACCTGAGAAGAAGCTACCCCATGAGCCAGTAAGACAGCTCAGTAGCTAACCGTGCTCATCACACAAGCCTCGCGGCCTGACTCTACTCCCCGACGACTCTACTCCCCGACGACTCTACTCCCGACGACTCTACTCCCGACGACTCTACTCCCCGACGACTCTACTCCCTGGAATCATGTGAAGGTGAGAAAAGATCCAACTCACCAAAGTTGACCTTTGACTTCCACATACGCCTGGGGCATATGCAGCCACACATATCATTCCTCCCCACCTCAAAAGTGAACAGTAAAATACAGGGGCTGGAGAGACGGCTCAGTGGTTAAGAGCACTGACTGCTCTTCCAGAGGACCCGGGTTCAATTCCCAGCACCCACATGGCACTCACCGCTGTCTGTAACTCCAGTTCCCGGGGACCCGACACCAATGACAAAACACCATGCACATAAAGTAAAATATAAATAAATAAAAACCTGTTTGGGGCGTCAGTGCTCTCCCTCCACTAGGAGGTCCAGGGGTCAGGCTTGGTGGCAGGCCATCTCACCGGCCCACAATGTGTGCTCATTTCAAGACTATATAATTACTTACCATTTTCTAGATGCTCACACATGCACACACACAGACAAGAAAGAAACAGACCCCTCACAATAGTGACTCTAAGAAGTGGGGGACGGATGGGGGAAGACGCAGTGGGCTTTGTTTTTTAGACAGGGTCTCGCTATACAGTCCTGACTAGCCTGAAACTCACTTATCAGACTGGCCTTGGACTCAGAGATCTGCCTGCCTCCACCTCCAGGGGACTGAACTACCAGCCGGGCTTTATTTATTTTAAATAAAGCCCCCCATCCCACCCCTTCCCTGTTTGAGATAAGTCCTTGCTATCTGCCCAGGCTGAACTTAAACACTTCTAGACTCAGATTCTCTTGCCTTAGCTTCCCAAGTAGCTGAGTCTCCAGGGTCAAGCTACCCCACCACACAGGCTCTTGTTTCTAGACTTCTTTTCTTTTCTCCTCTCTCCTCTCCCTCCTGCTCCCTCCCAGCACATGTTAGGGAAGGGCTCCATTGAGTTATATCCTTGGGCTTCTTTTCTACTCGTAAAAAAAAAAAAGATTTTTTTGGGGGGGTGGGGGTGGGGGGGACAGGGTCCTACTACGTGGCCTGGTCCAGCCTCAGACTCCTGCCTCTGTCTTCTGAGTGCCGGTCAAATTTATTTATTTATTTATGTATGTATGTATCTATGTATGTATGTATGTATGTATGTATGTATGTATGTATGTATGTATGTTTTGGTTTCTTGAGACAGGGTTTCTCTGTGTAGCTTTGCGCCTTTCCTGGATCTCGCTCTGTAGACCAGGCTGGCCTCGAACTCACAGAGATCCACCCGGCTCTGCCTCCGAGTGCTGGGATTAAAGGCGTGCGCCGGGCTGGAGAGATGGCTCAGAGGTTAAGAGCACTGACTGCTCTTCCAGAGGTCCTGAGTTCAACTCCCAGCAACCACATGGTGGCTCACAACCATCTGTAATGAGAGCTGGTGCCCTCTTCTGGTCATACATGCTGTATACAAAATAAATAAATAAATCTTAAAAAAAAAATGATTGAAAATATGTAAAACATAACAGTTAAAAAAAAAAAAAAAAAAAAAAAAGGCGTGCGCCACCACTGCCTGGCTAAAATTATTTATTTTTATTTTACGTGTCTAAGTGCTTTGCTTTTATGTATATAAGTGTACCTAGTGCGTGTCTGGTGTCTGTGGAGGCCAGAAAAGAGCACTGGATTTCTTGGAACTT